ACTGTCATCTTATGTAGTTGTAGTGTTGAGAATTAGAAAATCATTTCATCCCCTTTTCAGATATTTTTGCTGCATTTTGAGATTTTCCCCAGCCATCGGTATCGCTGCACTGTAACGGTGCGTCTGCATTGCATGTTAATCACAAAATGTCCGGTGCAGTAGTATAAAGCCGTCATTACATGTCAATTTAGTTTTAGAGTCCCGGCAGGTTTGAGGTTGTCAAACTCTCTCCATTTTCAGAACGATGCTTTGATAAATGTCTAAATGTTTAGAGTTTTATGACATAAACCTGCTATAAACCTCTCCAGCCTGACCTCATTGCTATTTGGTACTAATTTTCTGTACCAAATCTCTAAAGTCTTCACAGAACAGCTGTGTTGATATTAAATCACACACAGGCAGACTAAAAGTAATTAGCTACACTGTTTTTTAACTAGAGTTACCATATCAAAAGAGGGTTAATCTGTATGTTTGCATCAATTTTGTAATGTTTATTTTTGAATGCTTCGAAAACCGCAGCCGATTAAAACACCCCCAGGATTGTGGTTGTGACACGAAGACCGTAAAATGTTGTGTTTGCACACTGATGGGTTAGAGAAAAGGTGTTTGCTTTAAACTGAAAGTTCTCCAACCTTCACACATCCAGACAGTGTTAAGGCGCCTCACAGACATCTACGAACCTGCGACATAAATCATCAGCTTCAGCCGCACGCGAAGCAAAGCGACAAGTTCCCACATGGAATGAGACACGGGAGTGCAAACACGCGAATGCTAACAGAGTACGACGATAAAAGAGACGGAGAAATATTCAAGAAATGCAGAGAGTGGAGGGAGAAAGGCAAGGAGGGAAACATCAAACAGAGACAGTGGCGGGATAGCAGAGCAGCAAATCCACGCTCGGAGATGAACACATATTGTCATTTTCTTTCTCTCTAGACAGACAAAAGAAGGAAGAATCATAGCAAAGCGAAAAAACAAAAAAAAAAATCACTGAGTTATAGATGTATTAAAAATGAGACAGGGACAAAGCGACTGATGAGGTGTTGTGCTTTCTTTGTTGATTTTCATCCCAGTTGGGCTGCAGAGGAATCATTTGTGTCTTCTCTGATTAGGCAAAAGAAAAAAAAAAGAAAGAAAATCTGCAGGAGAGACTCTGCTTTAGTTTTTGCACGAGTTGAGACTGAATGAAGGCTTATTTACCCACTCTACCTCCTGTTAAAATTAATTTACCTTCAATAAATGTAACAGAATCTGCAGGAACGTAAAGCTTAATAGTATAATTGCTTTTGCTACAGACAAAATTTCTAATCCCTTAAACGTCAAGTCTCAAGGTGGAAAACTGAGAATGAAAACAAACAAATGTAAAATTCACCGATAAAACCTGTGAGTGATCAAATGTTCCTCTTGCAGTATGGTCACATGAGGACTTGAGCCCCGTCAGCTAACTTTTATTGACTCCAAGATGGGATCTCCATGGTAACAGGCTGGAGGAAGCCTGCAACAGACCGTATCTGGCCTGCATCTGAAGCTCGCAATGCCTACTTCCAAACATAATCAAGCACAAACACTCGGGAACACTTGCACCGAAGCACACACCAAAAAAAAAAAAAGAGAGAAACTGGAGCACTTTAGTGGGAAAGGGACCAACAGGATGACATTTAAATGGATGGAGGCTTTGGCGGAACAAATGAGTTCATTTCTGCTGTTCTTGTTGCAGGTCGGACCTCTCTCTGGATATAAAATGGTGATCCCGCTGAAATGACAGAGCGACGCCTGTTGAGAATTGTACTCTTCCCTGCTGAATTCCCCACTTCTGCAGGCCCAGGGCAACGAGAGATAAAAGCAACAGGAAAACAGAGAGTTTAGTTATACACAATCAGCCCTGCTGCTCCCAATCAGTCATGATGGTAGCAACACAGCACGAGGGGGAACAGAGGCACCGCTCCAGCGAATGTAAAAACGTGTTGTGTTTGCGTGTGGGACAGAGAAAGGCACAGAAAAGCAGAAGATAAGTGCGCACAAAGCTGAAGGTTAAGTAGAACGAAATGCAGGAAACAAATCAAGTGTTTGTACTGAAGATGTACATTAACGAGAGGCTCAACATCAATTTAACAAAATTGTCAAGGTATTTAAACATTTATGTCAGATCAAATGGAGATCCTCTGATCAAAACTGAAATAATAAAAAGGTCCAGTTGATGTAACACAGGCACTTAAAACCTGTTCTATTCAATCAGAACCATCTTCAGTAAAGTGCTGTGAAAACTGTCTAAAAGACAGCAAGTCAACATCAAGATCAAGATCAATATCTGAAGCAGGGGGGTTTAAAGTTGCTGCATTAGAAATACATTTAGAGCTAAACACAAACATTTTCAGAGAAATCAATGCTTCCTAATGCTGCACTTAGTGACTTCAGAAAGGATGCTGATGCTGTAATACATGTGCTCTGCCAGAAGGTGGTACTAATATTGACATTGACTACATGACAATTTAGAAGAAGTAGATCTTGAGGATGGCTAAAGCAGAGCTAGACGAGAGATTCTTACAAAACCAAAGCTGTACGTGTAAAATGTGACTCAACGTGTAGCTCCCGTTTGGGATTTTTCTAAAATTCAATGTTTCTACTGTTACAAATGTACAACATGACAAATCACACAACATTGACTTTCAAGCACTTTCAATTGCTTGAATGCAATTTTTTGTTGATTATTAGTCGAATATTACGTTTAAACTGCCATGTAAGTATCTTCTACCTGCTTGTAAAATATTTGAAGAGTTGGGTGGATTTTCCATGACCTAAATACACAAAAGTACTTTTATTGAGAATTGTGGTAAAAGAAAAAAGAAAAGAGTCAAGTAAAATGTGGGCTAATCTTAATCAATATCCTCTTTGCAATATTGAACAATATTGTCACAATGACATATTTTCCTGATGGTGTACAGCTATAATGTAGATGTAGATGCACGTCGAGGAAAATAATGTCTACTTTCATGTGGGAATAACCTCAATCATTTTTTAATTGTGTTTCCGAGCACTTAAAATGGGATATAGGAAATCTAAGTCCTATGTTTGCCAACCAGATTCCCACAGAGAACAACTCCCATTAGTATGATCTAGTAATACGGGTATCTGCCTGCATCATGTTTGTGGTGAAATAAGAAAATAAGTTGTCAAATTTCATATCAAATGTCATATTCTTGTTCACCTGATGTCGTTGACATCTGAGTGTATTAAAATCAGTAGTGATATGTTTTCAAAAGTAAGCGCAGATGCACAGCCAAGCATGTAAAATTCTCACTTTTAAAAAACGTGTAACAACAAATATTAATGTGCAGTTTGAGCATACAAAATATGTAAAAAGCAAACCTTTTGATCTCTTTTCAGACTGTCTAGGATCCACATCGACACTTACAATGAACCCAAATTAGATTATCAGCCCAAGTAATTCCATCACTTCCTTGTCTCCAAACAACCGATCATTCATTGGTAGAGACAAACATCACGAACTGGACCAGGAACAGAGAACACGTGGATCTACTGTTGTTGCAAAAGCAAAATAGAAAAAAACATAAATCCTGGGCTAATAGGTCGGTTTTCTCCGTTTAAATATGCCAAATAAAATCCTTGTTGCTTAAACGGCATTTATCATTTAATAGTTTATTTACTGTGCTTCATTTTCTGCACTCTGGCCCTGATTGCTCCATCCTGAGTATAACAAGACAAGGTACTCCAGTTATAATGAAAAACTACAGCAAGTCAAAAGTCGGGATGAGTCATAAATCAAAATCTCTGAGCATCTTTCTGCACGGTGATCGCATACTCAAAATTTATGTTTTTCTTAAAACATCCTATTCCTTATATTCTCTCATGTCGTTGTTGACAAACAGCAAGGCGCGTTATTGAAATATAATTGCATGTTATATAAGAGATATTTTTTCAAATTTTTCTGCAAATATTCCCACGTCGAAATTCTGCAAATGATTTCTATCAGATGAGTTGAACCGATGCGTTTGACGTGAATGCTGATTCATCGCCATGTCACAGATGTACCTATTTAGTAAATGTGAGAGTTTGAAATTATGTTTTTAATTTGCTTAACTTGTCAATGTGACCCCTGAATTTAGCCTCTAGTCCTGCTGGGACCCGGCAAGAAAAAACGCATATTGAAAATATGTAGAGGACTGCATGGATTTTTTTTAATTGCAAACTGCTAATAAAATAGGAATGACAATAGAAAAACAGAAAAACTTTCAATCAGTTTCTTCTGAATTTCTGCTACTCTGTTGTTCCCCAGCTGTCGGTTTTTTTGGGGGTTTTTGCAGGCTGTTGGAATGAAACGGTCTATCCTTGTGTTTGTGTTGAACAGGAACACAAAGCTAGGGTCAAAATCAGATCAGAAGGAAAACTAAAAAACAAAGCAGCTGTGGGTTTTTCCTCTCCCCAGCCTTGGAGTGAACATGTCTATCATATTTCCATCTAACCTTCTTCCACTGCCCTCTCCTCACATGGGAATTTTGGTCATTTCCATAAGACAGAAATTCCCCTCATGGAAAACAAAACCATCTGGACGCAGGTGTTCTGTGTTAATCCATCATATTATCTCTCAGGGCTTCCCTGTATTTATTTCTCCTCCCCCTCTCTTGTCTCTGCCCTCCCCCTCTTCCCTCATTAAACTTGTATCTCAGTCTCATGTGCTTCACTTTCTTTAGGCATGCTCCTCTCCTCCTATGCCCATGTCATCAGAATCTTTCCGCATCCTTTCCAGTTCTTCAACCCCTACTCCACCATCTCACATCTGTAGCCTCTTCATCTCATTTTTAGCGTGCTTGTCTTTCTTTTTTTCAACTCATTTTCCAAACTTCTTGCTCCGCTCCCAATTATTTCCTTCCCCTCCATCCCCTACATCTTTTCATTATCATCCTTCTGCTCTTCTTCTGCTGCCACGCAACACAACAGAAGGAGGGAAGCAGCGCTCGCTCGCTCGCTGCCTGCATTGTTACCTTTTTCGCACGTAGCTCCGCCGTAGCTGGGCAGACAGAGGCACACGAAGGAGTTGATCTCGTCGATGCAGGTTCCTCCGTTCTGGCAGGGATTAGACTGGCAGTCGTCAATGTCTGGAGGGAAACACATGCATATTTAGTGTCATTGTAGTGTCACATTCTGAGACACTACAACCACATTTTTTATTGGACTTTCATGGGGTTTTCTGTGACAGCACTCTTAGCAAGGACAGAAAAGCATACAATTATCCATTTTATTTTTGACAAATGAGAATCTGGAAATGGGAACTGCATATTGACATTGGTCAATATTTGTATAACCCTCTTATAATTGCCATGTGTGTAGGGATATGGATAGTAAAATATATAAACATTTGTCTTTGTAAAACACAGGTCATTGTGAAGTGTCACACCGGAGTCTAATTTGGATTTAGGCCTGGGCTTTGACTGGGCCATGACAAAACATGCCTCAACTCTTCCACAGGATTGCCCTCTAAGTTTTTTGAGCATATTTATTCAAAGTAGACGAGGTGAAGACGCCAAACTTTTCAGGTTGTTTTTTTAAGCTGCCACCATTTTAAACTACTTTGTAGTAGCCTGCCACATAAAATGCCAATAAACTTTCAATAAACAATTATATTGCAGGTTGCGATGCCACAAGACGTGTGAAAATTAGGACAAATTAACACACTCTTTTATACAGAAGCATCCCTCTTCAAAGAGCAGTTTATGCAGCTGCCTGGCACAGCTCAATGCTTAGCTCACAGCTCAATGCTATGTTTTAGTCAGGTTAGAGGTGTTTCTGTGAAAGTTATAATTAAGGCAAATTGATTGAATTCATCAGCGAGCTGTTTGGGGATGCAGTGGAGCGCATGAATCTAATTGCAATGTGTTTGCAGGACGTGGAGCCGTGCTGCAGTGGAACCCTGAGCAGCAAAAGCAAGGGATACCACGGACACCGAACACACACCGAACACACACACCAAACACATGCATGCGCAGGAGATTCAATTTGTACCAGTGCACCAAATTTAAACACACACGGATCAATTTCAATGAGGAAAACATTCTTTAATTCTAACTTAAAATGTATGTTGCCTCTACAAACAAATTCAACCACATATTTTACAAAAGCTCATATTCCGTAGAAAAATGCCAACTGTATGTTTTTTTTTTTCTTCTGCTTCTTCTTCTTTTTGGCTGATCTCGGCCTGAAGGCACAATCATTAAAGCTGCAGCTGGCAACTTAACAATCCTCAACCATCACAAGCTCTGAGAGACTCACTGAGGCTCTGACAAGAGGTCATGGTGGGAGGCGGAAGAACGTCTGAGGGCTGAAGGAAGATATGGAAATGAGAGGATGCTGAAAAGAGCTGGGTTAGGAGGCTGAGGGTATGGAAACAAGAGTGGAAGTGGAAAGACGGAGCGAAGGTGATACCACTCTGCGAAGAAGTTGGTCGGATTACAGCAGCTTTGCAGGCGGCAGCGTTTTGGGCGGATCAACCTGTTTGGTGCAAACAGCATGGCAGCTTCATTGCTGTTGCTCCGCTTAGGGCCGGCTGATTTCAAGGGCTAAAATTGATGCAGACAAAAGATATCGAGCCAAAGGAAATGGAATAAGACACAGTGTATGTCTGTCCTAATGTATGTCTGGTGTGAGACAAGAAATTATGACAGAACATTTTCTTACTTTCTTTCAACAATGTCTCCATTTTGCCAATCCTCTATACAGCCCAGATTTGAGGAGTGCATGACTAACACTGAATTGAAGTTTGAGGTTTTAAAGTGACAATATCATAAAAAAGCTAAACTGGCATGAATACTTTTGAGAAGCACTGACAGTGCAATCACACAAACTAAACTAGTGCAAAGAATCCCTGTAGGTTTACAGAAGGATTGTGTCTAAATACCGATACATGTGAATAAAACATGATTAAAAAAGTAAAAAGGGACATAAAAAACAAGAAAGAAAAATCCTTAGACTTGCCTCAACAAATATTTCTGCCATTTCTCATTTTGTTGTGTTAATTATGTGTTTATTTCAGATAAATACAGAGACTTTGAAGATCACCTTCTCTCTCCCCTGCAGGCTCTTTTCCTTCCAGCACTCAGATTTATGTCTTCAATTCTCTTGTAAAAAACCTGTGAACTCTGAAGCCAAATAAACCCAGACAACTCTTTCTCATTGCCATATAAAAGTGTTTAACAGATATGAACAATTTCACGCTCGTGAGCCCTTGAATTTTTCTGCGCTCCTCCATAGAGGTTTTTTTGTTTGCTTTCACTAAGGTTGTATTCTCTCTCTACTAAACACCGACAGCATAACATTTTATAATTTACCAAATTCTGGTGAAAATCCATCTATCCATTTGCTTCAGAATCCGTTCTTTGTATTGGGTGTAGGGAAAGTAATTTTAAGTGTAGTTTGTTTGCCCACATGTACCTGAAATCCAACATTCAATCATGTCTGCTGTGCTTTGCATTTTCTCCTGTTTTCTGAAGAAATTCTTTTACTTTGACTAGTTAGTTGATTCTGTCCCTGGTTTTAGTGAATGTCAATTATTGTCTCTCTCTGACCTGATCACCTTCTACCCTATAAGATACGTCTCAGCTCCCCATAACCCTGTGCAAGATGAACTGTGTATAACGAGCAGAGAGACGAAGGACTGCACTAATAAGGAAATGAAATCCGGACTAAAAATAACCCATCTTTCAGATAATCTAAAAAACTGTTATTTCCATTGACAAGCGTCCTACATATTCTGTCATGTTTTGTTTTGAGAGCATTTAATGTGCAAGTCATTCATTTCCCACCTGGGTATTCCTCAAAACACTGGTAATTATTAGCGTAGGCTAACTGGTTAGGCTAATGCAGGAAACATGCAGGGGATGCATCTAGGAAGCAGATGCTGAGCCGTTGTAACCTCTGAGGTCTCTGTGAACTGCTCTGGAGTGAATCAAAATGCTGCGTCACGTTTGTAAATCTGTAGCTACTGACTGCAGAACAGCTGCTGACCCCTGTGCGCGACGCACCTCATCATCCACTGACCCTGTTCACCGCTGCACGGCTCAGTTGCTCTTGTTCCCAACCTCTCCGCTTCAACACGAGAGAGATACAAATGTTTACAGACCTATTTAGCCACTTAGCTTTCATAAGTGCTTGCGTATGGATGCGCTCACTCATTATCTGCATTGTATTTTTTTCTAAATGTGTGACAGTGAGCTGTTTTGCATATGCCCTATTTTCTATTTTCAACAGTACAAACGATCTGCAGCAACTGATGAAAGGAAATGTCAAAAAGAGGAACATTTGAAGTATTTTTACCCTTTCTGTAACACAAAAATAACTGCAGCTTCCTTTCCTGTTATTCTTGACGTCGCTTTTTAATAAATGCTTCTCTTGTGAAGACAGTCAACAGTTTTTTTTTCCTGAATGCAACAACTAATGGCTTTATCTTACCTAAAGTTTATGATGACAGCTATTCGTTTATCAAACTGATGACTGTTTAGAGATAACAATTTTGAAAGCGTCTTTCAAAATGTCTTAAGAATTCCCCCTTTGGTTATCCAAGATTAACTAACTAACACGAAGTGGGAAAGGAGAAGAACAGCTGGTTAGATGAAATGAAAATTTAACATTCAAGCAGATGAAAAAGAGAACAACAAAACGACAGCAACAAATACAAAACACCGTATTCCTGTGTTTATTTACCTTCTGTTCTGTGCAGATTTATTATGTAAATATGCATCTACAAAGGTTGGAGGGTACGAAAAGATCTCATTACGAGTCGCATTCTTCCACGACCAAGCTCAGTAGGTGGCAGCCACGGATAAATGAAACCCCGACAGAGCACGAAGGCACCTTTTTTCCTTTTTTCCTGTATGAGACTAAATGCCAGCCGCAGCTACAGATCAAACAGCCGACTGATCAATTACACAGAGAACCTTTGAACCAGTAAATGCCACCCAAAGACTTTGCGTCTAACAAGGTTCTACAGAGGTCATGAGGGGATGATATTAATATCAAAGAGGAATACTTTTTATTTTGGCAGACACCCAGAGGAAAATGTACATTAATCAGAGGAAGCAAGAGCCGCACTCTCGTGCTAAAAGCATCGGTACGAAATCCAAAGCTAAAAATTGTACTGTAAGCCAGCGCAACACTCCGCTTCCCTCTGAAACTCTGACAAATCGGCTCAGGCTTTCTACGTTCTCCTAATTGCAGCTGAACCACAGCTGGCGTTATGTAAAAAATAAACCGACATAACATGCTGCAAAATAAAGGCTTTGAAATGGAAATTTTTTTTTGTCACACGAAGGTTCTGGTTAAAAGGCTTTTTGTGTTTGTCGCCTTTTATAGCAGCGACCCTGGATGATTGACTTCCCTTTGGTTTGCTGAGGGGCATTGACATTTCCAAAGCTTTCTACAAAGATTGATACCTTTCTGTTAAGCTGCTGCTCATCCAGACAGCGTCAATGCTCAATGGGCCATGTTGTGCTTTTTCAGAAAGCAGAGTTTCTGCGTGAGTATGTCTGAACACACTATAACTTCTGGTTTCGCTGTCCTTACTGCAAACAACAAGGACAGAAACAGCAAGAACTGTTTGTGTAAACATTGAAACCTCTTATTGATTTGCAGACTAAATATTTGCGACTAATTTACATGTTCATTATTCATTATGAAAGATAGTTTGCATTGCTTCTCTGGCATTTTACAACCACCTTTATCAGCAGAAAATTACACAATAACATTCTTTAAACAATTCTTTCCCTTTATTCCGCAGCACAGCATGACTGCTTATTGGCACACAGCTAATTGTTTTGTTGTTTTCGAGCATGAAGCTTTAATATTTCAGTTACTGTCTGAAAATATGCACTCCACTAAAAATGCCACTGGGTAAGATGAACAAATCCAGATATTTCCCCCCTAAGGAAGCAGACCAACAAAGAAAACAGTGGTGCAATTATGAAACCAAACAGCTCACATCTGTGCATACTTATTTTCTGCTTTGCTTGGAATTTTCACTGCTTGATGGTGTAAAGAAAAAAGATAAAAACTTAATTTTGTTTACTGAGGAGATTATGAGAATTTAATCTTCTTCAATGAATATTTA